ATTCGCCACTCCATTCGCCACTGTGTTGGCCAACGTGTAGAGGCGACATTACATTCAAGAGGCGCCGTAACGACGACTACGATTCACTTTGATCTTTGATTATATACCTGTCTTTGATACTATTGGAACTAAAATAATAAAAAAAAATTCCATATAATGGCTTATATAGTGTATAGAAATCGGAGGCTAATATGTGGAAATTGTTTTATTCTTTTTAGTAAATTGTAGTCGGCTTTACATTTTCACCCTATTGAGTATATTATAATATGTATATGTTCTAATTGAAAAATATGTATTGTATAAAATATATATCATTTGAGAAACCTTTATTCTGTTTCATAATGTAAACATAATTCATCAAACTAAGGCCGCACTGCAAAATAAAATTTGCGCTTTTCGATAAGTCGTGTACTGGCTCAAGTAAATTATTGAAAGATTTTAAAGTCATTCTGTAATATCCGAAAAACTTTTTACTGTATTTTTGTAACTCATGATATTTTATGAAGAAAAAATCCTTTATAGGTCTCAAGGCCGGCCGTAGGTAAATGGGTAATGTTCATGACATCTTTTGTTGCTTCTGTCACGCCGCCGCCATAGCATAAAGTAAATAATTTTTTTCTGTTGTTCGTTTTTAAACGTTCGGCTCAGCCGCGAACAGCATCGAACTGTATATAGTAAATATAAAATAAAGAAAAATCTCGCGGTGAAATATCGCAGTGCGGACAGCGCGTAACAATTTCATTAGTGTCGGCGGGGATTAGTGTTGCCAGGTCTAGCAAGTAAAATTTCGGGACGGAAGGTAAAAATAATCGGGGATTTGGTTTTCATATCCGGACAACTACAATGACTACAAAATATAGGTTTCTTTGTAGCATTTTTGTGCTTTATTGAGAGCCGTGGTAGCTCAGATGGTCAACGCTCACTGTAAATATCACAGTATGCGAGTAATGTGAGAAATTGTGACTGTAACTTTATTTTACTCTTGTGCTTTATAATTATTATTCGGGTCTGATCTCATAAACGAATAACTTTTCATCCAAACATCGTAAAAACTGATTTTTTTTTTCATTTTAGGCAAATTAAAACATTTTTGAACTATTTGTGGTTTTTTATTTGCAGTCCCTGAATTTTTCAAATCACTCATTTTAATATAATTCTGTTTAAAACTTTTGTGGTTTTTTTTCGACTGGTGAGACAATGTCGTAGTAAAAATATTTTAATGTGGTAGTAGCTAACAGATGTAATCATTTTTGCTGTCAAAATTATGGATTAAAGTATAAAATAAGAAGGTTAGTGAAAATCGGGACATTTGGCGTCCCGATCAAGGGTGAATCGGGACGTGTTACTAGACCCTTGAAAATCGGGACGTCCCGCGCAAATCGGGACCCGGATTGTTCGCGTTTACGGCGAGCACTACGCCCTTGAGCTACTCAACTCAAGCACGGCTCATATGTTTTATATCTGGGGGCACAGTAGTGCCCCCGCCCCCAGTCGAGCAAAACAGCGGCACGGCCGTATCATCATTGCGAGACTTGGTTATTTTGCAAGATGTTATGTTTTTGATTGTCTTATTGTCTGATTGTCTTTGTTTAATTATAACGTTATCTCCACACTAGGATTTTTTCCTAAGTACAACGTGGGGGCAGTTTAAATACATTAATTTCACAAGGACACACATCCAGACCTGGAACAATTATTTGTAGGTAATACAAATTTTTGTTCCATGTTGGATTCGAACCCGCGGCGCTCAGCGCTACAACTCATTACCAAGTCACTCCGCCACGGAGCCAAAGGTGAAAGCCAACGAGTTTGTATTTTACCGAAGTTCATTTCTCATTTCTAAAAAAATATGTATGAAATGAAAATTTGCCACCATTACATCATTTAATATTCAAATATTACAATCATGAATATATTTCAAAATTACTTACTACCAAAAATATCGCTTATAAATCGCACGTTTAATCAAACATAGAAATAATTCAAAAATCATGTTTTTTGGCTACGGCTGTTTAAAGTTTTGCATTTACGCAGGTCGAAGTTTGATGATCTGTAAAAAAAAATTTTAAAGTATTTTATGTATTCGAATTGATTTTATTGAAAATTTAGTTTATTAAGATTTGCTGGCATATGCGAAAAATAACAATTTACTGATGATTGACTTATAAGTAGTTGATAGAAAAAAAAGTTCCGACTTAATGCACTTTATGATTAAAGGAAATTATGTGATTCTTAGAACAAGTTCATCATAATACATAATAATCCTGTTTATCTCTAAAAAATAAATAAATCATATGGGCTTATTTGATTATATTACATTGTTTTATTAATGAAGTTGGATTATTATTGTAGGAATACCAACTATTTCCTTTTTATTTAAAATATCGAGAAAATTGTTGTAAATATTTTAAAAATAAAAAAGCATAAACATAATTTATTATCCTTTTTATTTATTTAAAAATAAACCTCCAAAAATAATTAAAACTTCAAAACAAATGAATAAAAAACGATTAACTTATTCTTAATGTTGACACTCTCAAATCAGTCTTACAATTGTTAAGGAACTAAAATAACCTTGGAATCAATATTAATCAGTCAGAAAATGTTTACATAAAATATATCTGTTATAAAGGGTTTAATAGTTTATACCCATTTAAAATAAACAACAAAAACGTATTAACATATCAGGCTCTCTATTACCTTCCTTTTAAACTTGGTACAAAAAGGTAATTATTTTTTAACAAAATCTAAAAACTAAACTTATAAAAACTGAAAAAAAAAACAAGTAATTAGAAACACAGAAAGGAGATCCATTAAGTTCAATTAATTATTGGATTATAGAAGTTGGCATAGAAAGGAGGAATTAATCCTTTATTAATAAGCTCTGCCAAGTCCTTTTTTTTTTGTTTGCACTTATATCTTGTCTTTGGTCGTAAGCTTTTTGAAGAGTAATTTCTTGGATATTCTTCATCTTTTTTCTTTTATTTCTTACATCAATTTCTTGGAAGCAATCATCTTTATAAGAGTTTTTGTAAAAAATACTAAACGGTTTCTCCTTTTTCATCATCAATACTTTTATATCGTTCCAATTAACTGAAACTCCATCCACATTTGTATTATAATTATAACCCCATTCCTCCTGCAAAAGTTTTAGATCCAGGAAGGCTTCAAAAGTTATTTCATGGACGTTTATGGCTGGTTTACTTTTCTTAGCATTTTTTATCAATGTCACATATTGATCTGGGGTGTAAATTGGTCCTGATTTCAAATTTTTCTTTATTTCCTTTTCAATCAAAGAATGAACGCTGTCAGCTTCGTTATGGGTGTGCCCACGAATTAAAAATTTGTGTGTTATGCTTCTTATATTTAACGTTTTCACAGCATATAGGTACAAAGTTGCTATATACTTATTTTTATTTTGCCCACAGCAATTGTCTGAGTGTTATGCTTTTCTCTTCAGTGCTTTCTTGAATGAATAATCGTTCAAGGTATTTCCATACACAGCTTCCCATCTCATTTGCTCCACGTTTAGCTTCTGCTTCCGTCCAAAAATAGCAGTGCACTTTATCATATGCTGTTTTTGAATTTAATTCAGTCAATTCAGTTATGGTAAGATTGTAACTGTTAAGTTTCGATTTATAGTAGAATGAGGAGGTGTCACCTCTAGGACATTGGAGTACTGCCTCTAAATCGTAAATTGCTACTATATTATTTTTAGTCACTTTTATGCGGTCTTCTTGTTTTTCAGTTCTACTTAAAGTCTTTTCTTCTATATGTTTATTATATTTCTCTTCTAGTTCTTTTGCTTTCTCTTTGCTACTATTATTATATGCTAAACATAAATCACATTGATCCTTTTTTGGTTGGAAAAAGGACAAATTAAATTCTGTAGTAAATATCTTGTAATATGCTATATAATTTCCTATCTCCTTATTATTTTCTTTCTGCTGTACTACAAAATCGTTATACAAATCTTTTATATTTTTTCCTCCGTCTATATATTCTTTAGAAGTACTAGCTCTGAGGTAATGCGATTCGATTTTAGGAATAGACTGAATATGTTTCCTGATGTCGTCGACTAGTTTTGGATCAAGAGTTTTGTGGCTGTTGTGTTTTCCTCTTAAGTCTTCAAGCATGAAACCACCGTCACTGACCTTATTTTGTATTGTAAAAATCATGCGATCCGAAATATCTAATGTTGCTTTAAAAAAAGTTTTACATACTATTATTTTGTTAGAATTAACGCAAAAATAATAAGCTTTATTAGGACGCCTTGGGTTTTTAGCATTTGTGTACTTATATTTTGGCACAATATCAACCATACAACCATTAATATAATTTCTTTGTTTGGCCAAATTCCCTAAGTCCCAAAATTCTTTGAATATATCATATCTTTGATTATTTGATATATTTTCTACACACTTTAATTTACACTTATCTGTGCATGGAATTTTAAGACAGCGACTGGGAACAAGTTTATGTGACCTTGTAGTAACATAAGATTCACCAGTATTTCGTAGTTTTTTAGCTTTATTTTGTTTCCACTTCGCAGGATTTCTAGTTCGCCTTCGGCCTCTTTTATTAGCAATCTTTTTTTGAGTAGAACCATTTAAATCCGAAGAACTGGTATCACTATCACTGTTGATAGAAGTAGTAGGAAAAAGGTAATTGGAGTTCCTTTTATGATTTTTTTCTGTCTCATATTTGAAAGTAGGGTCATCATCACTCAAATCTACACTATCACTTACATCAGTATAAACTGGTGAAATATTAATAGATTTATTAGAAGAGGGACATCTCTGAGGTCTCAACTGAATGTTGTCTGAGTCGCAACATTCACTGGCCATAACTGCTACTGTGTTGCGGTTTTCAGGTTCTTCTTCTGTTTTCGAAGATGAAGAATCATCTGAATCTGTGGAAGTTCCAGAAGAAGAAGAACTAGATGATGATGAACTTGTACTTGTTGAACTCGAGGATGATTGCGGTTGTGTTTTTTTTTGTTATGTCTTGTTGAACTCCAATGCATGCCAGGTTATTGTAATCATCGCTCTGTCATAGTCTGGCACAAGGCTTGTTGGCAATCTCTTTTCATCAGTGTCACAAGATTTATTTTCTATGTTTCTAGAACTAATCAACCGGGAATCAATTTTTTGGCTAAAATGCAGATGATCGTCTGCATTTTCTGATAATATTTCATCGCAGCTGCTAACTAACGATATTTCCAACTTTTTATGATCGTCAGATTGTACCTGTCCATCAGTAGATCGTAGATCGGTAAGATTTTTATTTGGTGGGAGATTTTCTATGTTCTCACTTGGTATATTGTTTAGGTCTTCTACAGTAGCGTTATGAGTTTCAGCTATTGGTTTAACTTCATGACTTTGCAAAGATAACGAAGAACTCGATGATACTAATTCTAGTATTTTATGTGCCCTCCGAGACGCCATTCTGTACAAAAAAAATATTCTAAATAAACAATTTAAATATTTTTTAAACATTTTTTTTTAAATAAAGCCGTTTTACTGAACTAGCCTAAAGGACAGTGAATACGATTATAGGTCCACCCGCGTGGCATCCCTACAATAAAATACAGAATAGAACAATAATTAAAACGACCTTGTTATTTTGATTGATCATCAAGAAGTAAGAATATTAAAGTCGTTATGCATTTGTATTTAACTTAAATTAATTAAAATATAATTAAATTATATTATTATTATTATTATCATTATAAAACTGATAGGATACTGATGTCATTACGACAATGGTTATTATACAATTTAATTTGTAATACTGTTGAACCTGATTAATAATAAGTTATAATTTTACTTTTAAAGAGAAATAACTTATAATGCAAAAATAATGTTGAGGACTTTTTTAAAATTAAACAGGAATAATTAAAATTGAATTTCATATTTAAAGCGTTATTTAATACTAAACTGGAGTAATTCTATTTGTTCTATAAATAAACTAAATATTTTAAAATGAAACTGAAATAACTAGTATTCATTCATACGATTTATTATTAGATTAAGAACTAAACTGTAATAACACGAAATAGTATCAGTGAAACTCAAACAAATTTTTGTAATAAAGTGAAATAAGTCCGAATAGTACCGCTATACGAATAAATAAAACCAGGAAAATTACTCACCTGTTAATAATGCATAGAATTATTTCGGCTTATTGCATTATTCAATTGACTGAAACGGGATCCTAGTCTCTAGACCACTGACACAAGACTGAATATCTCTGTTTATTGGTTTCAACCTGTCAGGACGCGTTAATCAGAAAGAGACGGACGACCTTCCATTTCGCTCAGATTTTGTTCAATTCGAACGGCTGTTTGAGCGCGCGTGTTCTTTGCGTTGAGTTATTGCGTTTTATGATTAAATCTCAAAATAACCGATTTTTGAGTTATTTCTATGTTTGATTAAACGTGCGAAATGTCTCAATCGTTAAAATGCTCGATGGTGCTATAGGTATCTAGTTATAGTATAGTGTAGTATAGCCCTATCGGTGTATCAACGCGATCGCGCGGTGTCGGTGCGCGTAGTCGGTCAGCGTACTGAAGAGTAATAGTGTTCTGTGGTACTGAATCGAACGGCGTCTGCGACCGATTTATTTTTAAAATAATTATATAAAATAATTGACAAAATAAAACGAGCTAAAATTTTTTTTGATATTTAAAATTACATGTATTTTGATAAAATAATTAAAATAGATATGTTCATAACGAAATACATGGAAAAAATTACATTGAATTAGACAGTTTTGGTGATTTTATAATATTATTTTATAATATTAAATCGTAATATTTTCGTAATTTAGGTTTTGCTATACACTAAAAGACTATATATTCCATTATAATAATGTTTAAAATAAAGTATTTTAGCTTATAATAATGGTTGTATTCAACCTGAAAGATAACTCGGATGCATATTTTCGTAAAACACTGTGAAGGGATTGTCTTCGCGCTAAAAAACCGTCATTAAAAACTATGATTTTGCATTGCTATGTACTAAATAAAGACTTCATCTTTCTAAAGCCCTAATTTTCAGCAAATAATCTCCTCACGTCGTTACAATATCGCCTTTGGAAAAACCATAAAACATGTAGTTTTCGACGCGAAACGCATATGCCCTCTTAATAATAATAATTTTTTTTTGAATCTCAATAATAATAACATAGTAAAATTAAAAAAAATCTATTGTTGATTGAGAATTTTTACATGTTTTCTCGATTATATGAGCATTATGAGTCGTGATCTTTTGGATTTTCAAAACTTTTTATTGACGTTTGACATAAAATAATTGGACACTTAGAAGTGACAGTAACAAGATTATTTGTGAAAACTTGTGTGTATTTAAAATACTTTAAAATGCAAAGGCATGCACATTTGTATTTAACAAAATTTTAAATTTATAATGTCAATAAACAGCTACAATAATGTAATTTCCTTTTCCTAAGCTATGTACGTAACGTTACTTAGGTACTTATATAACAATTAGAAAAGGCAATATTGTATCCTTTTTTAAGCTATTGCATAGCTTCTATCGCGGGCCTTGAGCGCAGGTACCAAATCCAGAAATTCCGTAACGGAAAAAAATTCACGCTCCCCACTTCGACGGGCACGGAGGTGTGGCGTTGAAAGCCGTGCATCGTCTAACTTCGTTTCAGTTCGGCAGACTTCGGCACGGTGTTTGTGTGCGTGCGACTAGACGTATGCGTGTACACTAGCTGCTAACTGAATAACCTACATGTATTGTAAGATATTAAAAATATTTTAAACAATATTAACTTCTCATTTCATTCAATAAGAGAAAAAAAATTGTTTTCTTATCGGTCACCACTCTCAAAAAGTGTAACTTGATTTAATAATAATAATAATAATAATAATAATAATAATTTTTCGCGTCTGGAGCTGGCGCTGGACGCGGCAGCGGGCCGCCAGCCGAGCGCGAGGAGCTGCACGATCACCTAGCAGCCCCTCGCATCCATCATCCCCACCAGAAGGCTTGGTGTCGGCTGGGTCTTCTCGGACCCAGCAAGCGGCACCCGCCGCTGGTGGAGCACGTCGCATGCGTTGGACAAAATCCATGAACGAAAACGCATTGCGGGCGTACTATAGGGCGAAAGGGGAAGAAACTGTGGGAATATTCCCCGCATACCCTTAAGCAAGCGAAATCGGGCTGTCGTGAGGGCTCTTAACCCAATGCTGGTGACCTATTTGGAAGCCAGCCGGGACCTTTGCGAGACGGACTCGATTCTCTTTGGCGCCGCAGTGGCAGTTTGCCGTATTATTGGCGCCAAACTTCCCATGGCTGGACGCGCTACTACACAAAGTAACGCCATCCCAGCCTGGAGGAAAAGAATCGAGGACCGTATCGCAAAGGCAAGGGCCCTTATCGGCAGACTGACAAGCTTCAGGTCGGGTAATAATAGACCGAGGATTATGCGCACCGTTAGGATGGCGTTTGCTGGGACAAATATCAGTTTGTCCCAGCCGGATATCACGCAGAAACTAACGGAGCGCATAGACGACCTGAAGCAAAAGATCGCTGCTTGGGGGAAGCGGATTCGACGATTTTCCGAGGGGTCAAGGCGGTTCAACCAGAATCGTCTCTTCCAGAGTGATCAGAAGAGGCTCTATAAATTATTGGAGCGACCAAAGGTATGTGTAGCGGGCCAAGGACCGGATCAGGCTGACATTATCGCATTCTGGCGTGGCCTGTGGTCAGAGCCCGTAAACCACAGTGAGGGCCCTTGGATGGAAGTTGTGGCGAGCCAGGGTGCGAGTGTTACGCCTATGGACCCCATCACCATAACGCCAGAAGACGTAGATGAGGCGGTCCGTAGGGCCCCGAACTGGAAAAGTCCGGGGCTCGACGGGCTGCATCATTACTGGCTGAAGGGGTTCGTAGTGTGTCACGCTGTGCTCGCCCGACAGTTTCAAGAGGCTCTCGACCAGAAGTCACTCCCGAGCCTCTTCACTACTGGGATCACTCACTTGGTTCCTAAAGATCAGGATACCACAGACCCGAGCAAATACCGCCCCATCACGTGTCTACCCACCATATATAAGACACTGACATCCATTTTGAGCGCGAGAATCACTCGTCACCTGGAGCTAAACCAGGTGATGTCACGCGCTCAAAATGGATGTCGGGGGCGTGGTCGTGGAACTAAGGAACCACTCCTCATTGACGCGGTCATAGGCAAAGTGGTGAAACGCAACCGTCGGAACTTCTCTGCCGCCTGGATAGACTACAGAAAGGCGTTCGACTCGGTGCCCCATACATGGCTAAAGAGGGTCCTCGAGCTGTACAAGATTGACTGTACAGTTAGAGACTTCCTCGAGCAGTGTATGGGGCAGTGGAGTACGATCCTTTGTCATCTGGGCGAGCGGATGACGGCTGCGGAGAACCACATAAGGATAAGAAGGGGTATCTTCCAGGGCGATTGTCTGAGTCCAATCTGGTTCTGCCTCTCTCTTAACCCTCTCAGTACCTTACTGGAGGGCTCCGGGAGGGGATTTCAGCTACGGAGAGGAGGGACAAAAGTGACCCACCTTTTCTATATGGATGACCTCAAGTTATTCGCCTCCAGTCGCTCCCATCTTATGGAACTGCTAAACATCACTTGTGAATTTAGCAGTTCCATTGGAATGGAGCTGGGGACGGATAAGTGTGCGGTCCTCCATGTTGAAAGGGGAAGGGTTGCTAACTCTGAGGGCATAGACTTGTCTATGCCCGTCAACAAGGACCCTTTCCGAGGCTGAAACATACCGATACCTGGGTATGTCACAGAACATCGGTATCGATGAGGCTGGTATGAAACAGTCAGTTTGCGACGTGTTTTATGCACGCTTGACCAAAGTGCTTAACAGCCTTTTGTCCGGTGTGAATAAGACACACGCATATAACGGCTGGGTCATGCCTGTCCTCATGTATACCTTTGGCATACTCAGGTGGACTCAGACTGAGCTTAACGCCCTGGATAGAAAAGTCCGCACTACCATGACGTCCCATAGGATGCATCATCCGAGATCGTCGGTAATGAGGCTGTACTTGCCGCGAAAGTATGGTGGGCGTGGCTTTCTGAGCGCGCTCACCATGCATAATCGCGAAGTGTGCAGTCTCCGTCAGTACTTCTTGGCGAGATCGGATGATCCATTCTATAATGACGTCATTTCTAGTGATAAAGGGCTTACCCCCTCTATCCTTAGCCAACGAGCAATGGCAGGACCCAGCAGTGCTTAGCAATTCCGACCGGGAGACCGTATGGAAGGAGAAGGAGCTCCACGGGAGGTACTACAAGGCTCTACATGAGCCCTTCGTAGATACAGTCGCCTCCCTCAACTGGCTACGTTTCGGTGACCTCTTCGGGGAAACCGAGGGTTTTGTCTGTGCAATACAGGATCAGGTTATTAAGACCAACAACTATCGGAGATACATCCTAAAGGATGGCACCGTCGACGTCTGTCGAGCTTGTCGCCATCCCGGGGAGTCACTTAGGCATGTCATCTCCGGTTGTTCGGCGCTTTCTAACTCTGAGTACTTGCACAGGCACAACCTAGTAGCCAGAATTCTACACCAGGAGCTCGCTCTGAAATACGGTCTCGTGGACCGGAAATTGCCGTATTACAAGTACTTGCCGGAAGCCGTGCTCGAAAATGACCGCGCCAGACTCTACTGGGACCGGGCCATCATCACAGACAGGACTATTCTTGCGAATAAGCCTGATATTGTGCTGATGGACCGGGCACAGTCAAGGATATTTTTGGTCGATATTACCATCCCGTATGACGAGAACCTCGTGAGAGCCGAAACAGATAAGCAATCAAAATATCTGGACCTGGCTCACGAGGTGACGGACATGTGGGTTGGTCTGCCGGCCGAAATTATTCCTGTAGTCGTCTCTGCGAATGGGCTAATCCCAGTTAGCCTCTCTGGTCATCTGAGGCGACTGGGACTCCGTGACGGACCGCTCCGGGCTCAAATGCAGAAGGCGGTGCTCCTTGATACTGCCCGCATCGTCCGCCGGTTTCTTTCCCTTTCTTCCTAACCCTTGGCCGTTTGGTCTCCCCTGCCGAGGGCTTCCATCTGGTTGGGCTTTTATTTATTTATGTATTTTTGTATTTATTTTATTTTATTGATATTTATGTATATTTATCCTTTCATTTTCGTTTATAATTATATATTTATACATCCCAACCAGATGAGAAAACTATATAGATACCCCACACATAATAATTTCTTTATTCAGGAAAAATTTTAACAATATATATTTGCATCTGCGCCTGAACTAAGCAATAAGCTTGTATCTCAGGCAACAGTGCTCTTTCTTATGGGACAATTCAACAGAAATCTTTCTGATTAAGAAACTTACGTAAACATATTATATCAAACAATAATATTATATAAAGTATGAAAATTAAACCTACGTATATAACTAAATATATTTTTGTGCGTAAATTGTTCCTCTCGTATGTGGGTGCGTGCTAATGTGTGTGTGTGTGTGTGTGTGTGTGTGTGTGTGTGTGTGTGTGTGTGTGTGTGTGTATGTGTGTGTGTGTGTGTGTGTGTGTGTGTGTGTGAGTGTGTGTGTGTATGCGAGGGAGAAGGTGAGTAGTATACATTAAAGTAATAATTATAATAAGAAAATATAATTTAATGGTATATTAATTATACGTTATAGAAGTAAATCAGTTATTTAGGGATTTCAATAATACTTCTGTTTCGTCATAATCTAGTTTTTGAAGCCATTTGAATAGGGTTTTTTTTACATTGATTCTTATTTAAAATGTATAAATTTAGTTGCTTATTTATATTATTGTACAAGAATGGACCAAGAAAACAAAAATATTTATGTGCATACCAATGTTTAAAGGTAGTAGTAAGGCACACTTTGTCGGATCTTCTCTTTATTAATTGAGATGAGGTAAAATTTAATAACCCATGTTGCTTTAAAATCGTCAGATAAATGTATAATTGTCGGACTGTTAATACTTGGCAGTGTTCATATAGTTCATATGTTGGATAGAGAATGGGTAGAAAAGTACAAACCTTTAAAACAGCTCTCTGAGCTCTTTCCAGTGGAGCTAAAGTAGTTTTTGGGGCTCCGCCCCATATTGTTATACCGTAAGTTATAATGGATTGACACAATGCAGTGTATATTTGTTTCAGTAGTTCAGGTTTAGCTACATGCCTCAGAATTTTAAAGACATAAATAAGCTTTCGAACTCGGGACGTTAAAACTTCTAAATGATCTTTAAAATTCAGTTGATTATCAATAAGAATACCTAAATATTTAACACAGTTGGTTTTGGATAAAGATGGGCAGGTACACGGTAATCCTAAAGGTTTTATTAAATTTAAACAAATGTGAGCAGTTAACTTATAGTTGATAGTTGATTGAGGATCAATTGTCATGGAAAAGGTAATATATTTAGTTTTTTCAATATTAAGAGATAGGTGGTTATTACGTAACCATACTGAGACAACATCAATTCCAGTTTGAGCGTTATCAAAAGCCTCCTTCCATGTAGTTGCTGAGAATAGGAGTGCTGTGTCATCAGCATATGATATGATTTTGCCATGGAAGGATTTAAGTTTTAAGAGGTCATTTATGTAGACGAGAAATAGAATTGGGCCCAGAATACTCCCCTGAGGAACTCCGTAGCTAACAGGTACATCAGAACTATACTGGTTATTTATTGTAACACATTGTAGTCTTCCAGTTAGATAGCTTTCAAATAATTTTAGTTGTGTACCCCGTATACCAATTTTTTCAAGTTTCCTTAGCAGAACGGGGATAGAGACGTGTCCTTTTAGTTTTATTGCCTTTGTCTAGATTTTTGATGATATTATCGGTTAATTCATGTACTGCATCATTGGTAGATTTTCCGGATCTAAACCCGAATTGACAGTTTGATAGAATATTAAAGTTCTCTAGGTATTTTACAAGTCTGATATTAATAACATTTACCAATACTTTTGAAATAGAAGGAAGTATAGAAATAGGCCTATAATTATTCACATGGTCTCTATCTCCAGATTTATATATGGGGTGAATTATGGATTTTTTAAAATAATTAGGGAATATTCCGTTCACGAAACATAAATTAAAGATATAAGTTAATGGTGGGATTAGGATATGTCGAAAAGTTTTTAGAAAGTTATTAGAGATTTTGTCCCAACCAACTGTACATTTTGATTTTAAATTTATTATAATGCGTTCTACTTCGTCCACATCAGTAGATAATAATACAAACGATTCTCTTGTTGATATAAAGGTTAATTTGTGATAATTCTTGTTTTTCTACAATATTTTTTTCTGCGATGTTTTTCCCAACAGTTGCAAAGAAATTATTAATACTATTTAAGGAGTCTTTAATACAGTCAGTTTTCAGTAATTCCTGAGACGATGATTTCTGCTTAGATGTGTGTGTAATAATTTTAATGGCTTCCCACACTTTTTTACTATCTTTACCCGCTAATTCTAATTGAGTTTTCTCATGCTCTCTTTTAAGCTTTTTTAATAGACTATTGCAATAATTTCTGTATCGTGTATATGTGAGTTTAAGTACTATATTTTCTGGTGCACGTTTTACTTTCAGATGCATTTGATCCCTATTACGCATACATCTTATTAGGCCGGGGGTTATCCATGGCTTAATGTTTTTTAATCGTCTAGATGTATATACTATGCTTGTATTTTGTTCTATTGCAGTTTTTAAAGATGTAACTAAAAAATTCTGTACAAAAGTTAGCGTCATTTGACTTATATATTATTTCAAAGTCTATATTACCCATGTCCGCAAGTAATCCTTCATGATTTAATTTAGTTCTATGTTTTAAAGAGGACTTTTTAATTTCATTCTGATTTAAGCACAGGAGTACTGCTTGATGGTC